TTTGAGACAGAGCCTCAAACTGTGGCCCTGGATAGAGTGCCATGACATCACAGCTCACAGCAACCTCCAACTCCTGGGCTCAAGGGATTCTCTTGCCTCTGCCTCCCAAGTAGCTGGGACCACAGGTGCCCACGACAACATCTGGCTATTTTTTGGTTGTAGCTGTCATTGTTGTTTGGCAGGCCCAGGCTGGATTCGAACCCACCAGCTCAGATGTATGTGGCTGGTGCCTTAGCCACTTGAGCTATAGGCACTGAGCCAACTTCCAATATTCTAATACACATTCCCACCTTCCTTCTACACACCCTCATCTCTCCGGTTTGTGGGCTGTCTTGTCTCCACTTAACACAGGGAATCTCTTTTATTTTTGCTGGGTGCAGTACACACAAGTGCTGCTGGCTTAGAATGCCCACTCAGCAGCCCTCTGTTCTTTCTAAAAAAAGAAGAAAAAAAAAACCCCATACTTTGTGAATGAGGAAAGAAACTTAAATGTAATCAAAATATTCTTGTATTTTTTTCCTGATTAAAAACTTAATCCTTCATGATGTATATAAAAATATGCAGGCACAAAAAATATGAGAGTCTTTAAATCTTCAGAAGTACCTCAGGAATAACTATGTATGTGTACAGTAGCATTGGTAAGTTACCTACGGGTGAGAGACTATAAAATACACATGTATTAATGACTTAGACCTTGTTGATGTCGTCTATGTATTATTTCATATCATTTATCATTCATATTAAAGTATTTTCTGTAAATACAGCAGTATGTAAAGCCTGCGTACTTTATCAATATGTGTTTTATACTTTGTACTGCTGGGTTCAAAGATGAAATAACCAGACTCCTAAATTTTTGCTACAGAAACTGTGACAAAGGGCAGTATTTTTTTTTTTTTTTTTGATTAGGCAAGTGCAATGGTGAGAAGTAGGAAAATACATTTTTATAGATCTTGAATCCATGCCCAATACGCTTATGGGATCATAGTCCAATAGAAAAACGTTGCTATTCACTGAGGAATAATATTTAATGACAAAAAAATTTAAAAAAGAAAAAATAATCAGGAATGCAGAGAATGAGGAAGGAAAGAAAATTAAAACAAAAAGATAATGAACAAAATATAAAATTGGAAAAATATATGCAGGAAATAAATATAGCTTATGTATTTTTTTTTTTTT